GGAACCAATCAGAAATGGATTCAAATTGTCTTGACTCTCAGTATAAAGGGACTCTACACGCATTGCGCAACGCGTGAAGTATCCCTGTTAGGTTTGTAGGCGCCAATGCGCGTTCCGCGCTGGCTGCCCGCCTGCCGCGCCGCAGCGTGCCACGGCGCTTGAAGCAACTATTTCACATCAGAGGTATTGCTTAGTATCATACGAAACTGAAGGCACTCTAATATATTAGTAATGGCAGGCATCCATCAAAAGTACGGAGCTTTCCTCGCAAAATAAATCAAGATACTACGGCCCAAAAAGATAGCAGTATTCCAAAAACTCACCAAGTCCTAGCATCCGTAATTAGTAACGTTTAGCATACACACCTGGCCTGGCATATCGCCTGGCTATTGCTTAGTCGCCATCGGCTATAAAAGGCTATAAGAAATTGTGTAGCCGGCTATGGAAGTTATTGGAAATTTTACAGCCGGCTGTAGGTCTATGGTATTTTGGAACACAGATTCTACTGCCAATTTTTACCAGGGAGACTCACGTGCTACTAAATGTTTTTTCAGATAATATTTTAAAAAGCAGCGATCATGGGAAGAATTTTATATGAGTTCTACTTCAAAATCACCTGAAGAATCATTGCTTATTATACCTGCACACTTCCGTATCACCAACTAATCATCCAAAGTGGCACCTTTTCTTTGGGCAGATGAGCTTTTGTTAACTTTTATCCTTCAAGATTGAGCGTGAGGTAAGCGTTATCTCGTAATAATATCATAACACAAATAATAATGTTGTTCACATGCTTCTGGTATTTTCCTTATGTAATTTTTACCACTTGTGAGAGAATTACCTACAAATATGTATTGCAGACGGTTCAAACATAACGTTTCCGATTAGCAGTACCTAATGTTGTCTGGCAACGTCGCAGCAACGTTCCCACAAAGTTGCTCAGCCGAGCTTGTATTTTATTGGGATGCAAATACATGCTCATTCTTCCCTAAAAATTCAACCATTTGCTCACAACTGCACGCAGTTGTTATCATATTGCACAACATTACAATCAACATGATACTTATAATCCTTTTTGGTCGTTTCAGGTTGTTAAAACTGCAACAAGAGATTAAAGATGAAAAGCTCAAGCATGTAAATAAAAAAGTCCTTTAAAAAACAGCTTTGGAGGCACTTAGCAAGAGACAATGCGCAACAGAAAAATTATACGGTACACACAATTAGTTGTAACGTCGACTCTTTTATATTCTCACTTCATTTTAATGTTTTACGCAAAATAATGTTTTAAGTAAATTATCAAATTTTGTTCAACTCCTCTTGAACTTCATTGAGTTTGTGTGTATACCGAGTATGACCTGTGCGATTTAATAACACTCTTATCTCGTCGGTGACTCGCGAAAGTTCGTCTTGATAAGTGTTGTTTGGGCAAGAGTAGTCAAAGCGCCTTCGATTTTTGAGTATGCATCACGCATATCCGCAGAGCTCGAATAGTTGCATCAAGAATGCAAGTTATTATGGGCAAGGCGGCCTTTTCGAATGTGTTGCACACATTTTTGGACCTCAACTGTCCGTACAGGGTGCTTAAAAAAACGTTTTCAGAGTGAAAAAAACCGCGAAAATTGGATTTTTTTTTACCTTTTCTCTACAATGGCGGCCAATGCACGACGGAAAACGAGAGATCCAAGGTGACCAAGTAAAAATTTACCTTTCACATAAATGATATGAACAGTTTTACAAATTTCCAGATTTCCCTTGTTATTACGTTGATGCTTAAACAATTTTCGAGGGGAGAAACGACAAAAATGACGGTATTTTTGACGGTTTCTGTATCATTGCGGACATCGAGCATCACACGACAAACAGCGAAGGAATCCCGGAGCTAAGTGAAATTTGCCCTTCCATGGTATGTTCATTCATGTGCATGTTCCTGTTTATGTTTATGTTCATGTTCATATTCAATTGTTCATGTTCATGTTCATGTTCATGTTCATGTTCATGTTCATGTTCATGTTCATGTTCAGTTTCATATTTAAATCTAGATCCTTAATACGTAACGACTTGATTTTTTGGATCCTTAAATTTTGGCAAGTTTGTGATAATTCAACTGCTTTATGACCTCGTTCCGCTTGGAGACTGTACATTTCAACGAGTTATTGGATGTAATCGCTCCCGTAATTAAAAATTTTGCTACCGACCGCATCGTGGCTTGCCAACACGAAGTTATTACTCGCAGATTTGGTCTGTGAATAGGAAGTAAAGCCACATTTCCTGCTCCTTTTTTTTGTCATGAAAGTCTGGGCCGAACATTACCGGCAAAAATGCCTGGATCTCTTCTACAACATTGGAGGCGACAAATTAACAATTTTGCAATACTTCCTGGACTACGCACCTGTTGCACTTATTGAGTTGTTTGCCGTTTAGATTGTTGCTGTTTAGGTAGGTGTGGATGTAGTTCGCGGAATTTTACTGACACTTAAAACCAAAACATTGTTTTCCGTTGCCTCGTGTCGAGGTGACAATATAGCGAAAACATTCATGAAATTTCTTTCGGATAATAATCACTCATTTCATTTTGTTGTTCAAAGTTGTATATCACATATTTAAAACAATAAATTCATGAAGGCAAACATCTGGAATAATTTAACCACAAGGACGTGCAAAATATCCCCTAGAAAGAGCAGCGTAGGGGTGAAAAGACTCTGTAAGTGTAGCAACTCGCGATCTTGATTGCGGTGCAAACTTTTTTATGTTTCCCTGGGATAAAATATAATAAATACTCATACAAGTTCAATGTACAAGTTTGTTTCATCTATTTTTCATTCCGCCCTGGATGTATTAAGGTATATCGACGGTGTAAGTCGGCAATCACATAACTCGTTTTCGGTGTCTGAAAATCTCCGCCTCTATGCTATTTTTTTTAAAGGAAAACAAATTGACATCATTCCTTGAAGTTTTTGCAGAATTTTCCTCGCACCGAGAAGAAAAATCACGACAGTTTTAAAGAATTACCGGTGAGATGTTTTCCGTTCAAAAAATAAAGTATGACAGGAAGTCTGCGACGTCGCAAACCGAGTTAGGTGATTGTCGAGTGCCGACTTACACCGTCGATATGTATGTATAACCATCATAATCCGTGCGCCGAATGGAGGCTCGGTGCCAGGTATGTTTATGAACTTTGTCGATTTCGTCTGAGAGTGTCCATTTTGGGCACGTGCTACAACTGCTGCACCTTCTTACGTTAACATTATACGGAGATTTCTGTGGATTACGCTCAGAGAGATTATTTATGTTGAATTTAATGAGCGAAAAGACATTCAAAGAGAACCAGGAAAAAAACTGTGGCCGAAACACAAAGATCACGAGTAGCAATTAAATACAAGGAGCGCTACCTACATACTCATCTCAATGAAGAAGCACTTTTACTGTGTACCTCTAATGAGTATACCATAGGTTGAAGAGGCGCAAGTCGTAGAGGTTGGCCACCCCCAGGCTTGATTCTTGACCTCGTATCGAATTTTTACACAATGAGTGCACTAATACTGTCTATAAGGAAGTAGACAATAAAAAAACTCTGTTTTAGGATGTGTATGGATTTCAACATGTTGTGTCATGGATCTAAAAATATATTTTTCTGTCGCTGTTTAGCGCTCCCTCAGGCTCTACTACCCCTAACCACCACTGTTCTCGATTAAAATATAACCCTTCGCCTTTGGAATCTCGTCTTTGAGCATTTCAGATTGAATGCGATCCCTCCACCCACCCTGTCATTAGGCGCACCTCTACGCCCGCTCGCCCTCTCCGAGGAGGAACCCAATCCATGACATTTTTGTCAACTTGTCACCCTCCAGTATTAGTTGTTTTTTCGTCATAACGTCATGAACGATGATCTATTCTGCACCTGTCGCAGGCAATTAGCAGTCACCATTTGCAAGTGGCGTAAGTGTTAAAACTCGTCCAAATGCATATAATTCGCATCGACATAAGCCTGGGTCCCACGATCAAACTGAAGCTATCAAAATAGCAAGGTCACGGCGCAGTACCTAGTCTTCGCGGGCCAATCGGTTATCAATATGTTATCAAATTACTTCGTCCTACAGTAATTGGGGCGTTGGTATAGGATAAACCACCAGTGGCGTGGCGTGCTGTGCGATGTATCGATTGATCTGCCATTTAAACCTTCGGAAAAGGATCGATAAACAGGGTGTTTGCAAGGAACACCTCAGTAATCGATTCTTGATCATAGATTTAAATGGGGAAATCTCAATGATTGATCATTCACGCCTCGCCACTGAACCATCGTGGCACATCGGAACAAAATGTGACGGATCGGTATCAGTAGCTTGGCGTGCTTTGCGATACATAGATTGATCTTCCATTTAAACCTACGGAAAATGATCGATGTACATGGCATTCGCAACGAAAACCTTAATAATCGATTATTTACCGTAGCTTCAAATGGGCAATTATCGATAATCGATCATTCACGCCTCGCCATTAATCGGTATGTAATGATTTAATGCTTAAAGTTGACGAGTACTCACCGAGAGCCGAGATTCGTGTACAGCACTAACCCTGCGAAGTCCATTCTTAACCGGTCGTCTCGGTCTGTTCTCGAAACCGGTCGATGAGTCGGACGACGCGACCGACCTCCGCTCCAACCGCGGCCTCCTCCGGATCTTCCTCCTCGCGCACTTCCCCCGATCCGGAACTCGCGGTCCACGGCCCTCCACCGACCCGGAATCTTCCTTCACGACCGACCCTTCCGACCCCAGGGAATCCGCGTCCTCGATCGACGTCGAGCTCGGCCCGAAATTCCCAGTCCCTTCCTTCGAAGACGCTGACCCAGCCTGCCGACGCTTCTCCCGCAGGATTGTCGCCAAAGCTCCTCGTTCAACCGGACGATCCGGCTTCCCGTCCGGAAGATTTGACTTCGCGTCCGGAAGATCCGGTTTCAGGTCCGGAAGACCCGGTTTAACGTCCGGAAGACCCGGTTTCCCGTCCGGAAGATCTGGTTCCGATTCCTCCTCGTCAAGATCGGTGACCTTCGGGTGGTCGTCCACATACCATCTGGTACACCCTCGCACTTCACCTTTCTTCTCCTCTGCGCTTACGATCGAAATTTCCGATATGGATCTCGTTAATTCCGGCGTGACGTCAGTTTCCGCATTCGAGTCGTCGGTCGAGGGGAGTATGTGAGCCGTCTCGCTCTGCGGCGCGGTTTTGCTTTTGACCTTTAATTTCCGTTCGATGATGCTCAGTTTCGCCGACTTCGGCTGCTCGGACTTTTTGAAGCGCCTGCCCCGCGGTTCGTTTTTGTCGTTGGCGAAGATGCTCGGGCGGTAGGTGTCGTATCGGATGTAGGTCTTCTTGCTCTTGCTCTCCGAGGAGGTCGACTCGTGCTCCGAGATGAGCCCCGACGCGACGTTGTACACGTTTTTCCGCGGTCCGAGTCGGTTCATCAG